TAGTCACTATCTAAGGCATAGGAGAATTGTTCCCTGAAGAGGATTTTAGGAGAAAAGCCATATACTAAGTGATAAATTTATCACTAGGGGCTGCATGGCTCCATGGATTAAGAAGAAATGGTGTAGAGTATTCAGAACACAGAGCAAGATGACCTGTTAATCTCCGAAATGCTAAGGAAGATTCCATGTACAGTATTACTAACAAACTGACATGGCCTCATAGAATAACCACTTTTCTCTACCTCAGCACCTTCCAAAATATTTTTAGCCAACCACCTTTGCCATGTGCCACTCTGATATCCAAAGTATTATGGGATTAGCTGGGGACAATGGATGGCACTATTCTACTCAGAACAGAGTACATCAGAGATGATGTAAAATATGTGGGCGTAAGGAACATTTTATGGGCCGAATTCAGCCCTGGTGTAATCCTATTAATGTCACTGGGGATGAATTTGGCCCAGTTACTCTCCCTTATAACCACATTCACCCACTGATGTAATTTACACCACTTTACTCATCACCTTTGAATGTGTTTAACAATGCTGTGCTCAGTCAGGGTGGCCCTCGTTGTGTGCAGTGGAACAGTTTTTGAAGAACAGCTCTCCACTCAGCGTGCAGCACCAACAGAAATAAGGGTCATAATTACTGGCTTTGCTATGACCCTTAAATACGCTTTTATCTGCTACACTGGAAGACGATGCACTGAGCCCGGTTTTCAAAAGCAGTTGACTACATTAGTAGCACAAATGCTGCATTCCCGTGAGCAGATGGGCACTTAAATGAACAACTACTTGTTTGTTTTGTTGTTGTTGTTGTTTTTATTTATTTTTTTGTGGCTAAGTGGTGCCTAGTTTAGGTGCCCACTTTGGAAATTTGGGCTAGCTATAGGCCCAATACTGAGACTTTATTTCCTCCTACTCTCTAAGCAATTCTTATGTAGAAAGGCTTTGCTTATGAGACCTACAAGGGAGCTAGGGTAAACAGAGTTCTCCTTTCAAATTGGAAGCAAGGGTTAAACATGCATTCATCTGCTACTCCTCTGCATCTCCAGCAGTAGCTGGATGAGGCCTGCTGTTTCCCTTCTGTATGGCTTTGTGCCCATGCGGATCCTCTTTGTGAACTGACTCAATAGCCATCCCTCTGCCACGTGCCCCTCCCTTCTGCAGAAATCTCCTCTGCAGTGCACTTGAGGGCATGAAGCTCTCCAAAGGGATTCTCCATTGATTTTTGCCTCCCCAGGCACAGCCCCTGCAAAGCAGACACACAGCTTTTAAGTACATGTACATGGCTCTATTCAGGCAAACTAATATGACGAGTGAAGACAGTACGACAAGTGCAGAAGCCCCATTTAGGAGCTCGGTGCCACTGGAGAAACTGGCGCACACACTTTGAGTATATTTAAACACGTTCTCATCCTGGCAGTTCTGGAACAGAGCTAAAGCAAAAATGCCCCGAAGGGAAGGCGATGCAGAGCACTTTTGCTGTTGAGGATTTTGGATACATGATGCCAACGAAAAGAGACCCTGCCTGCGCGCATAAGAAATCAGAAGCATATTCATGCCTTGAACTAGCGGGTGGGAGTGAGAGTGGAGAAACAGGAAGCTCCTAACTTGTGTTCCGACTGATCAGATGACTCATAGCCTGACCCCAGACACACCATGTGACCCCTTTGCACTCAAGTCAACCTAGGTGCAAAACTGAGCCAAAGCACTGACAGATTGCTGAACCCTACTGGGGTAAATAAATTACAAACAAAATATTTGTGTTTACTGTGGGGATTTGACAGTGCATAATAATATATTACTCATATTGAAAACTACAGGAGTTTTTTATGTTTAAATATGTACAATTAATTAGACAGAATTGTTTTTAATATGGTTCTTCCCTATAATCTCATTCTGAACTAAAAGACTTTTTACTGGATCAAGATTTGGAGTATTTTCCATTTTGTGAACGTTATTACTGCCTCTTTCTGTTTTGTGTGTGTATCTGCCTTTAAAAATGCTGTTCACAGAATATTAAGGTTGTATGGTGTATCACACAACAGTCAAGAAATGCAACCTTAAGTCTGCCCCCCTGTGAATATGCTTTGTGATGTAGTCTTTAATTATATGGTCAAATATAATTCTCAGATAATACAACATAATGTCATAATATATATTAAGTGCAGCAGCTTGTAGGAGTGTGCACTACTGGGTGTATCACAGGCAAACAGAGTCTATTCAAGTAATTTGCATGAAAAGGACAAAATAAATCATTCTTATAAAATTTAATACAAGTTAAGTGTAACACAGTGTAATAGTGACTTGCCTTCTTCTCTGTGAACACAGAGGACCAGATTTTCAGCTGATGTAATCGGCATCATTCCATCAAAGTCCACAGAGCTACACTGATTCACACCACTGGATATCCTGGCCCAGGGTGAAAGCCCTAACAGCCAGAAATGAAGGAAAGGGAAGGAAGAGCGCCCATCTGACCATATTTCCGGGTGTTTTGTTCTCAGAGTTCCCCTTATACAGCGCCCCCCCCGCACCACCACCACCAAAATGTAAATCAACAAGGAAATCTGTGTATGACTACAGCATTATATGCTATGCTGGAAAAACCAAATAAAGCTAGATTGGGTTTTTGGAAGCAGAAGCTCTGTTGGGGAGTTGTGTGGAATTGAGCATGGGACTGGAAGAGTTCATTGCGCTCATCTTCCAAAACTGACCTCCAAGTGATCCTGAACGCAGAAGGAAGCAGGGTCTTGGCCACATCTCCACACAGAAAAGCCACTCCCATTTCAAGATATTGAAAACATCAGGTTGCGCTAGCTCACTCACAACCCTTGAACTCAGGTTGTGCAATTGCTGACACTTTGGCTGCCCTTTGAGTAGGAGGGCAAGGTGGGGGAAAGGGGTCCCTGCTTGCATTTTCCCCGACTTGTTTACCCCCAGAAGAGCAGCCAGAATCTGACTGTAAGACACTGCAGAAGACAGCGCAAGAAAATGCAGCTCTGATTAATTTACTGTTGGGAAAAAAATCACTACTTGGAAAAATATGAAGTTTTCAATGTGTGCCTAACCATAAAGGGGCCATCTGCAAGCAATAAGTGTGTGCGCCCATAGGCTTCATCTGAGACTGCAAGGAGCTCTGAAAAGTTCACTGCACATTCCAATGCTCTGTGGGTCCTTACTAATCCAGCTGCTAAACAGTAACCTCAAACAACCCTTGTAAGAATCTGAATGAATAGAAAGTAGCATGTATTCCACATCTTCCCCCAGGTGTAGATGCATTTTTTTAATATATATTTCCAACATATTCCTTCTTACCATACTCATTTCTGATCAGAACAAACATTTTGGGGCTGATTCTCTTCCACTGAAGCAGTTAAACCAAATTTTAAAGTGGTATAAATGAGAGGAGATACAGGCTTCAGGCTCACTGTCTGACGCTTGGGTGCCAAGACAGATGTATTGCTTTGAAGTGGTGTTTTTTGTTTGTTTGTTTGTTTGTTTGAGACAAGGTGGGTGAAGGAATATATTTATTGGACCAATTTCTGTTGGGGAGAGAGACAAGCTTTCGAGCTACACAGAGCTCTTCCTCAGGTCTGGGAAAGGTACTCAGAGTGTCACAGCTAAAAAGAAGATCAAACAGAAGGTTTAGCATCAGTAGTTTTTGTTGTTGAGCATTTTATGGCTTGGTACAGTATAAATCAGCTCATCTAAGGGTATCATTTTGTTTCATTAGTGCCCCTCAGTTCTCTTTTATGTTAAATGTTTGGTTCATTTATATATGCCGAACATAGCTACATACACCAGTCATTCTTCTGGAGCCAGCACCAGTGTTAGCTAAGAAAGGGGTGAAGAGGTACATATTTGGGTATTAGAAGGGTGCGATGGGGCTTCTATTAAGTTTGAGTTCTATTTTGCACTTGCAGGGTTTCAACCTCTGGTTTGTACAAAGGATACAGGGCATACTCTCATAGGTTTACAACACATTATGTTTGATTAAAGATCAACTTTCCCAGGCATCTTCATCTAAATCTATTACTTAGTTTATGAGTTAAACCCAATTGTAAAATAAGACCTTTAAGAATTTTTAGTGTCTCACCGTTTTTCAGAACCCTTTTGCTGGTTTGTTATCCTTCACGTTTTGTATATAATTAAAAATGGTAGCCAGCTACCTTCAAATGTACATTTGAGCAGGCATTAGGTGGTAATTAAGCAGAATTAACCCTTTAAAAAAGAAATCTTACCCCCATTCTATTCACAATTTTTGCTGAACAAAAATGGTCACTATTTCCTATAATCTTTAATGGGACTGAAGCTACCCAAATGAAGCAAAGATATTTATGCCTCAGTAAAGATAGCTGGATGGGTGATCATAATAAAGACAGCCCCTGGGACTGATCTCACAGGCTGCCCTCTGGGAAGACGGATGCTATTTCACTAAAACCATCATACTTCTCAACCTTCCAGTATGTGACACAAGCAGTTGAAATGTGGAACTGGTGTTTTGTTGTGCATTATGCCATAATGCACAACAAAATTTATGAATTTTTATGATGTTTTTAAGTATAAAACTTGTTTTTAAGGATATTTCTCATTATGCAAATTATATGAACCAGATTTTTTTTTTTTTTTGGTTAAAGAAAACTATTACAACAGAAATTCTGTCATCTGGTCCCACAAAGAACCCCAACATGGGTCTTCAGCAGGGTTGAATCCTGGACCATCTGACACCCAACCCAGACTATTATTACATGAACGTCAGGAGTAACTGTTACCTTCTACACAAGGGGACATGACACACTTTGCTGGTACATTACATAGTTATCTGCTACACGCCAGCAGAATGCTAAGAATGAGACCACCTGGGTTCTATTCCTGGCTCTTGGAAGTGGTATAGACTAGTGGTTGGTTAGAGCAAGGAGACTGAAATCAGGAATTCTGTGCTCTATTCCTAGTTCTGGGGAAGGGAGGGGAGGGGATTCTTTAGTGTCTATAGACAGCATAGACAAGCATATAGTGTTCTTTCTGAGAGGTAGTGTGGCTCAGTGGATGAGTCGGGGTGTGCTACATTGGACACTTGTGTCCTATTCCGCGCTCTGCTAGAAATGGCATTGTGCAGCCCCTCAGCTTATTTATAAAATGGGGAGGCTGATGCTTGACTGCCTCCTAAGGTAGGGTCCTTGCGATATTATTCAGTATTTGGGATTGATATACACAAGTTAAGTGTGTGGTGTGTAATGTGTTTGTGGGGAAGCATGAGATCATAATTAAGGTTTTGCTTTGTACTGTGAGAGAGACTAAAGTGTTGTGTGTAATGTATTCCCTTATCTGTTAGAAGCAGAAAGAAGTTCTTTGTGATGATGTGGAGTCTGTTGCTATCTGTGGAAATGTGCTGTGTGGGCATTAGGAGACGGGTAAGATTTGTTCCGTAACATGGCATTTTCTTGCTTTTTAGAGTTTGTATTGGATGAACATCACATTTTACCAACCTGACTTGCTTTAAAACAACATATCTGTGTATGAAATTATATACAGAATGGAGTGGTTATATTTTTGCAATCTGGAATTGAATATCTGAGGACAGTTCTACTGAAACATTAGGTCATTTCCCTTTGTTTTGTTTTTTGGGTTCTCAGAGCTGCGGCTTCTGCTGAAAAAGACAGAGGTCCATTGTTTATGCTGCTTAAGAAATACAGTGAAGGATTTATTTTATTGGAACTAGAAGGGAATGACTATGCCAGGATTTGCTAGTGTGATTTTCGTTTGTTCTGTATATCAGCACATGTAGGGTGACCAGATGTCCCGATTTTATAGGGACAGTCCCGATTTTTGGGTCTTTTTCTTATATAGGCTCCTATTACCCCCCACCCCCGTCCCGATTTTTCACGTTTGCTGTCTGGTCACCCTAAGCACATGCCATCTGTATATCAGCACATACCCTGATCAATAATGATGTGCCAGCCAAAAAGCAAGGCCTACTCTATGGCCTACATTTTTAGAAGTGTCCACTAATTTTAGATGTCAGCCAGATCCCTAAGACCTGATTTTCAAAAGTGCCAACCATCTGCATTCTCATGATGGTTGCTCGGCCACTCCACAATCAGGCCTTGGGTGCCACAAGTTGGACACCAAAAACTAGGGAACCTTTCTGACAACGCAGACAGATGTATTTAGAGCACCCATACCATGACTGAGATGACACTCAAGGTACTGTTAGATGTGCTGTGATGGTAGGCAATCAAACTGTTATAAATTAATACTCCTGGGGAAATTCCGCACCACTGCGGCTCAGCAGAAAAATGCTCCCTCCCCCCTGCAGATTCTCTTTGCTTCCTTGCAGAAAATGGTTTCTGTGGGGAAGCAAAGAGAAGCTGCACCAGTAGTCATTCACCCCTCCCCCACAGCTTGGCCGCTTATATGTGTCTGTTCAGGTAGCGGGGGGGGGGGGAAGGAAAAAGGTAAATCACTGGTGAGAGGGGGGTCTGGCACCCAGGGACATTAGTCCCAGCTGGGCGGGAGGGGGAAGGATGGAGACAGAGTTCCCCCTCCCCCTTGCCTGCACAGAGCAGCCCCAGAAACTTCCCCTGGCTACAGGAAGCTCTGGACCATATGTGTGTGTGGTGGGGGGGGAGATTGGTGATTGTGGGGGGAGTTTCCAGGTGCAGAGGGTGAGGCTCAGCTGGGGGGTTGGGTGCAGGGGGTCCGAATGCACAGGAGTTGGGCAGACAAGGGTCACAGCTCCCTGTACAGTGTCAAAATAACACAGAAACACAACAACAATATAATCGCACCATTTTCAATTATTTTGGTAATTTATTTCAAAATAATTGTCAGCAAATAATTTCAAATGGTGATTATATTGTGTTATTTTGACAAATAAAATATACACACTTTTACAAAAATTTAAAATGTGTGCAGAATTTTTATTTTTTTGGTGCAGAATATTTAATTTTTTGGTGCAGAACTCCCTCAGGAGTAAAATGAATAGAGTTTATTTGGTTTGTTTTTGTCAATGAGCTGACAGGTCAAAGATGTCAAACTCACATCATCCCCAGAGACTGAATTACTTTATTACTAGAAAAGGATCAGCACAGGCACCAACAGAGCAAGTTTACCATGCCCCGCTCTGCCAATGGGACTCAGACAAGACTGGAAGAAGCACTTGTACAGAGACTAATTCAGTCTTAGTGCCTATTCAGTTCTTGGACTCTGCTCACAAGGTGACAGCTGCTTGGTGGGTTTGGGTGATGTAGGTGCACCTTTCAAATTGGACTGGACTGAGATCACAGGCACATGTGATGATAATACTGGGTCACTACCAACCTTGGCTGTTTTCAGACTGGTGACCCAACGGTGAAGCGCTCTGTGCTTTATCAATAACCCCTAGAGTCATCCAGTCAGACTTGTTGCGAAGTGTAACTCCTTTTCAGTAATGCTGGTGATGACAGGTTTCCCACATACTCTATGTACCATTGGTTGAAGCACATGCTTAGGGGAAGGGGAGTCTGTCCTTGTCGTCAGCCAGGAGGTTATGCCTCAATGGAGTTGTAGAGTGCGGGCAGAAATATTAGCCCTTAACAAAGCATGAGGAAGGTATCCTACCATGTAGATTCATGGGTGCAATAGAGAAAAGGCTCCCTGTAAATTCTGCTGTCTGCACTACACCCCACAACATACACAGCTCATCCATGAAACACAGGGCAGGATTAGGCTAAAATTTTGCAAGTCTGTCTGATTCAATGTTAAATGAACTTTCTAAGAGCTCGGATACCTGAGACGGCTTCATGTTCCAGAGTTATTTATTAGTCTTATGAAGAACATCACTTTGAACACACTGACTAAATAAGAATTAATTGTGTTAAAAATTCAGATTAATGAATACTTTAAGAAGTTGTCTTGAGGGGAAAAATCAGGCACTTTTGTGAGAGCGAAACCCTGATGTTAGGAGGACCCAGTCTCTGTGGAAACAGGTTACTCATCTTTTTCAGACGATAGATGCATGTTTATTTTGTATTCTCTGAAGTGGTTACTTTACATGTGGAGCAAAGAAAAGATGGCTTACTAGGCTAATTGCTAATGCAAAAAAAAAAAAACAAAGTACTGTGAGCAAATATTTGAAAACAGACACAGAAGGCTGTGAAAACAAATACAATCTCATTTTCCATGAAGTTTTCCCACCAGAAATCATGCAGTTCAAAGAGACGTCCAGTAAATACGGTACCTTCAGGCTTCCTGTGCCAATGCTGTTCATTAGCCACCTCCTAATTCTACGATGCAGAGCCAGATTAATGGAAAGGTGACTAAGGAAGGCACCAAGGGACACACTAATTATATTGCATAGTCCTTAGAGGAGTCCTCTCTACCCATATTGTCCATGTAAGGCAAAATACACACATCACAAGGATACAATGCCATATAATCACACAACCCACCCCCCCCAAAAAAAAAACAGAATTTCAAAAGGGCAAGATGTCATCACAGAAGGGGTGCTGGAAACTGGTGAAACCCAAGATGGAAAAAATAATTGCATGCATGTTTTTTAATACAAGGGGATCCCCCCAAGCTCATTAAAACAGATCGAAGTTTTAAACCCTGTATTACTTTAAAAATTAATTTACGGCTGTGGGGCTCAGTGGCCCAGAGAACATTAAAATGATAAATCCAGAAAGGTGATGTGATTAGAAATGAGTATTACTTTGGTCACAACATGGACTTTCAAAGCTGTGAAGGAGAAGCATCACAGCCATGTTAACCTTTGTCTCGTTTCTGGTTTTAACCCTGAGTTTAAGAGATTTTAAAGAATCATAAAAGTTTTCTCCAAGATTAAATATTATGCACAAGAGTTTGAGGTTTTCTGTCTATCTTTGTTGTATCTGATGCAGCGCTAGAACGTAAGATTATACAACTTTATGTTATACTTTCTGACTGAAAGGGAAGTTCTTGTAAGAATGCAGGACAACTTTTGTAAAACATACAGGGCCCAATCCTTGGGTTTGGCCGAGCTGTGCTTGACCCAGGACCTGAGTGAGGAGGCAAAGATGGTTGTACACCATCTTTCTGTTCTCCCGCTCTTTCGGGCCAGTTCAGTCCTAGAGCAAGTTAGACAAATCTCGAGGCTGCTCTAATTTATGTTGGCTAGTGATGGCCTCCAACGGGTGTCATTTCAGCAAGAAATTGTTGGAGTGCAGCAGTCCTCCTGAGATACACCCCCATATCCCTATGGCAATCAAATAATGTAGTTCATAATAGCTACATCAGTCTTTTAGAGGACAGTTTTTTGTACATGGAGACAATGGGTGCACCCACAAAAATGTGAGTTCACTAATTGCTTGTGGAGAGCACCATATTACACACAAATTTAATTTTGCATGAAGAAGTATCCATTTACTCCTGTAATTACCTTATTTGTGTGCACAAATGCCATTTGGCAATGAGCTAGAAAGCTCTTGCCAGCTGTCCCAAGGTTTAAATCGGGGGGGGAGGGGAAAATGAGGACTGGCATTCTTGGTGGTGAGTTCTCTGCCCGGAAACTCACTTCTTCTTGCAGATCCATCAAAGCTATGTCTGTCCACTTTTAGGGCACAGTGCAAGATGCACCTATTCTGTTTGACAGCTGGCTGGATTTTCAGTCGATGAGGCTGTTGGCAAGACTGTAGTGGCACTTTAGGGCAATGGTAAATAAGTGTTTCAATTATTTCATTTT